AGTCAGCAACGTTCGACAGTTATGAGCCCGGCTGCCTTCTGAGACGTATAAGTTTTGACTCTTTTGTGCCCCTTTTCTGTCTATATCTGATTACCTGATTAAGATTCTTGATAACTGACATCAAGATGACTTCCTCCACTTCTTCTATGACGACAAAAGTTAGCATTACTCTGACCAGGCCAGAGGATTGGGATGAATGGATGCTTATCGTCAATTCGATGGCACGAAACGGTGATGTTAAGGATCTTATTAACCCTGACTGGCCTATAGAACCTCCTCAGCTATCTGAACCAAAGAGGCCAACCGCAGCAGACATCAAGCCAGGCGCTGCTTCATTGACAGAGCTTGATACTGGTGAGCAGAAGCTATTTACGCTTCTTCGAGAGGATTATAAGTATGACATGATGAGATATAGAGACCGTCAGAGTGCTCTGAGCAGTATTCAGGACTTTATATTGACCCGAATCGATCGTCAGCATCTCATCCTACTCGGAGGAAAGGAGACAGTGTATCAAATGCTCACTGCTTTGAAGAAGAGGCTTGCCCCAACTGATAGGGCTCGAGAAATGGATGTTATTCGACGTTATAGAGATCTTCAGAGAGCGCCGAAGTATCAGCAGATCGACAAATGGCTCTTACAGTGGGAGAGAGTCTATACAGAGGCTGAACAGCTCTCTCTTCCGGACGTCCAAAAGGAGCGTCCCTTATACGACTTCTTGAATGCCTTGAGGCCTGTGGATACAGCATTTGTAGCTGGTCGAGAGGCTACCGTAGAGGAGCGAATTCGTCGTGGAGAGGATCTGCCAACAGTTCTAGATATGCTAGAGAACTATCGAAACCACGTACGAATCTCAAAGGCCTTCTCGAATAAGGGCTCCTCTTATACAGCATTTGCCACGTTCCAAGGAAGCCCAGAGGATAAAGAAAAGAAGAAGCAGAAATGCCCCTGTGGAGAAGAGCACTTGTTTAAGGAGTGCCCCTATCTCATAGAATCTCTCAGAGCGTCCTCATATGGACTCCAGACGCAGAAATCCAACAGAAGATCGACGAGAAGCTGGAGAAGATACCAAAGCAAAGCTGCGGTAGAAAAAGCCCAGAAGCAGGCAAAAGAACAGAAGAAGAGCAATAAGAAGGAGGAGAAGTCAACAGAAAAGCCTGCTACAGCTATGGGTGCTTTTGCTGTTGAATCCTTCTCGTACAAACTCAAGAACTGCTGGACGCTTGATTCTGGCACTGATACGCACGTCTGCAATAACCGTACGCGCTTCAAATTCGAGCGTATGGCCACTGAAGAAGACGTGCTAATGGCCGGCAAAACGACGTACGCTATCGAAGCGTTTGGACGCGTCGAAATAACCGTCAAAACCCCCAGGTTTTCTGACGAATCTGGTGTGCCTGCGACGGTTTACAGAAAAGGGCGTCCACTAGGATACGTAGAATGAGCGTCTCCATTAAAAGAGGCAGACTTTCTGCTATACCCAGTCCGTAGACGACTACTGGGTCCTTGAATATGGACCTCCTGAGCCTCTAGACGATTCTAGAGCTGCATTCGCTTTGAATAAGCCTTCTAGAGCCCCAAAGGCCCCTGTGAAGGCGACAGCAACTGAATGGCACAGGATTCTTGCCTACGCAAGGCCAGAATCCATCGCTTATCTTGAACAGAGCGTGGAAGGAGCAAAAGTTATAGGAAGAGCTCCTTTTACTACTGATTATGAGACCTGTTTGCTGACAAAGGCGCACGAGTTAGTATCACGGCGTACGGATGAAGAGGAGCCTCCTATAGAGCCTCTCTCTCGAATAGGGTATGACCTGATAGCTATAACGCCTGCGTATAATAGAGATAAGTAGGTAAGACATTTCTCCTGCTTCATAACGAATATAGACTTCGTCTATACCCATTCGAAAAAGAATTATGCCGTAGAGGTTATTAAAGAGTTTCTTGAGATGACCAAAACGAGATACAGTGCCACTGTGCGCTTTATACGAACTGACAGAGAGCGTACGCTCAGAAAAGCCTATGCTGAAGTCACAAAGAAGTACAAAATTACCATAGAGCGCTCTGCTCCCTATACTGCTGCGCAGAACGGTAACACAGAGAGAGCTGGGGGGGTACTGATTCTGCGTGCTCGCGCTCTGCGAATAGAAGCAAAATTGCCAGATGAGCTATGGCCAGAAGCGTTCAAAACAGCAGGCTATCTCAACAATCGTACGCCAAAGAGAGGCCTTAGGTGGAAGACGCCTTTAGAAGCTATTCTGAAGAAGCGTCTGCAGCTATCTCATCTTTACCCGTACGGCTGCAGAGCCTATCCTCTTCGGAAGAACATCTTACACTCTTATAAGCTTGAACCGAGGGCCCTGATAAGGTACTTGGTAAGGTATGATTCTACGAATATCTATCAGATATAGATACCAAGCCGAGGCAGAGTTATATAAACAAGGGACGTCACGTTTAATAAAGGCCTATTTTATGATCCAAAAGAGCTGAATTCTAGCCATCTCTTAACCACAGAAATTAAGGATATTATTAAGGTTATTAAGATGCCAGAACCGAGCTATATAGCTTTAAGAACTCTAGTAAATAATGATATTGATGATCCTGAGCCTCCTTAGCTTCCTGACGCTCTTAGAGATGAAGAAGAAGATACTATTAAAGTCACAGATAGCGTTGATGATACTAAGCAAGAGGAGGAGGAACTCCAACACTATCTGACGCCAGAAATAACGCCTGAACGAAATTTTAAAGAGTGTATAACTGAAACTAGCGTACAAGCAACTGACTCGCAGGCGACTTGCGCAGGCGAAATTTCTGCTGATTTTGACATACAGAATATTCTATTAAGTCGTACAAGAGGCGCCAAACGCCGAGAGGCCTATGCCATAGTGCTGACGTATTCATCCAATCTTTCTGCGTATTATTTTGCCTTTTCTGTCGGCCTGAGCAGCTCTAAGGAGCAACTCTATCGTGACTCTCTGCCGCCTGAACCTCGCTCATAGAAGCAAATGACGAAGCATCGATTCGCTAATGAATTCAGAAATGCTGCAGAGAAGAAGATCAGCGAACTAGCGAAGAAAGGGACATATGAGGTTATTCTGAAGGATAAGATCAGCGAACTAGCGAAGAAAGGGACATATGAGGTTATTCTGAAGGATATGCAGAAGGAGATACTGCCCTTGACCTGGGTATTCAAGTACAAATTCAACACTGACGGATATCTAGAGAAGTTCAAAGCACGCTTGTGCGTATAAGGAGATCTCTAGACGACTAAGCAGGATATATACACCGCTACGCTTGCCGCAAGAACTCTCAGAGCGCCCTTATAGCAATAGCCGCCGCATTTGACCTGGTTAATGTAGTATGACGCTATTAACGCCTTTACTAATAGCTTTCTTGAAGACGAAATCTACTGTTACTGCCTTGAGGGTTTTGCAAGAGTTAGATACATTTGGAAGCTGCAGAGGGCGTTATATAGCTTAAAGCAGTCGCTACTTCTGTGGTATAAGCATCTTACAAAAGCTCTAGAGGAATTAGGACTCTATTTAGTACCTGAAATTAACTGCCTTTACGCGAATAAATACCTCATTCTCTTCTTCTATGTTGATAACGTTATTCTGCTATGTACAAAGCAGAATTCTGACAAGCGCAAGGCTTTCAAGGCTGTTCTGCTATGTACAAAGCAGAATTCTGACAAGCGCAGGGCTTTCGAGGCTGCCCTGCTCAAACGCTTTGAAATGAAGTCTCTTGGAGAGCTAAAATGGTTCCTTGGTATATACGAATTCTGCGGGATAGAGACGAACAGAATTTGGCTATGCTAGGACTCCTATATCTGTAAAATAGCTGCTAAATTCAACCTAGCTGACTCAAAGGGAGCTCCAAAAACGCCACTCCCTGCGGACGGAGTACCTCTAGCAAATAACGACGAAGACTCTGATCCACAGCGTACGCACGCATTTCAGAGCAGAATTGGCTCCCTGAACTTTGCCGCAGTTGTTACTCGACCGGATATAGCATTCACAACGTCGAAGTTGGCGCAGAATTGGAAGAATCCCTCTGCAGCTCATATAGCTGTTGCTAACCGCGTTATAGCCTATCTCTATGCCACGCGAAACTACGCCATTGAATATGACGGTAGAGCTACTGCGCAAATCTTCATGGCATCAAGCGACGCGGCATACGCAGATAACGAAAGTCGACATAGTTCAGACGGCTATCTTTTTCAGTTATATGGCGGTGCTATCGACTGGCGCGCTGCGAAACAGCGTACGGTTACGACTTCTAGCACTGAAGCAGAGCTGCTGGCGCTTTCGAGGGCGGCTAAAGAGATAATTTGGTGGAGACGCTTCTTCGCATCAATTCGATTCGATACGCAGCAAGAGATGGTCATTAACTGCGATAATTTGCAGACGATTCGCCATCCCGCTTATTTAAATTCAGAGGTCCGAATTACAATGGCTCGAAACTAGAACAAGTTAATAGTCCATAGATTGCTAAAACGTAAGCTGAGGAGTCTATCTACAGTGCGGCCAGCGCTCTACTCTATATACTCCTCCATTATCTGCAGGGCCAGAAGCGGTAGCTTCCCTCTGGAGGAGATTGTACTTCCCTAAAGGGGTCGTATCAATCTCCTGTTCCATGGTACTCGTACGGGGAGCCACGTGCCGTACGGATGCCTCTATCGGCGGCATAGTAGCTTGACGGCAAGAGTTCCGCGTGCCGTTGTGGATACGCCATCGGCGCTGCCGTCTGAGTGCGTGGCTGGTCCTATGTATTTCCTACGCTATGGCAGAGGAGATACTCCATTCATCACACTACCCCCCTCTCTGAAAAATCGATTGCCTTTAATCGAGAGTACGAGAAAGTAAGCCCACTCCTCCCAAATTCCGTTGCCAAGCCTAGCAACTTCCTAATTAGGTTAGTCTGAAATTTGGCTGTACATGTACAGCCAAATTTGTCACGTAATGTTTCTGTTAGATTTTCCTGTACTCAGCTTTAATTCAACTAATCAGGCGCTCTTTTCGTTAGGTGCCTTTCGAAATAGTCTCTGAGCAGGTCCTCAGAGTCCTTGAAGTTCGTGATAGGGTAGTAGGTCAGGTCCTCTGGCCAACCTACCTACTTGGCTCACACCTTCCAGGCCTTGCTTACTTGCTTGACGTCGACTATATCCTTAATCTCTCATGCCTCCTCTCCTTCTGTTTCCACGGGCAAAGGCTGTGGATATTCCTGGCCTGGCAGGGGGTCAGCAGGGTCTTTGGTAAGCAGCGATACGTAGAACACGTTATGAATCCGCATTGACGAGGGTAGCTCTAGACGGAAGCTCTGCCCGAGTCTCTTCACAACAGGGAATGGTCTAATCCATTTCGAATCCAGCTTCTTGCAAGGTCTTGTCGTGCTAATATTCTTTGTTGATAGCCAGACCTTGTCTCCTTCTTTGAAATCGATTTCCTGGCGGTGCTTGTTCGCCTGCTCTTGCTATCGCTCTTGCGCGACCTTCAAGTACTCTTGTGCCTACTTCCAAACCTTTTCTATTGGCTTTGCCAGGATCTTAGCCTTCCCTAGGGCTACGCGTTTCCTTGCTGTCTCTGTAGACTTAGGCTCGTCAAAGCTCATTCTTGGCTGATATCTGCATATGATCATGAATAGCGACAGCTGTGTGGACTCAGACACTGCTACATTCGCAACAAATTTGGCGCTTAAGAGAAGGTTGTTTTAATCATCTTATATAAAATCTATATAAGCCCTTAGATATTATTTCATCTCTGCATTAGAGACTTTTGTCTAGCTATTTGTCTATAAATAGTAAGCTGTAGATAGCTTCGCTTTGATTCCTAAGATTTAGCATCATTGTTTCTATACTTTGCTAGCAAACTAAGGCCCTTAGTTAGATATAATTGTCTAAGGAAGCCTATAGAGCTTCTACATATTCTTATATAACATCTTGGCTGTCTTCTCTGAAGTTATACCCTCTTCTGCGGCTGTGCAAGAGATATAGTGGCGTTCCTTGCTTAGCTGATCAACAATCACTAAAACAGCATTATAGCCTTCTGATGTCAGCAATCCTGTGACGA